GATTAAGTACCTCAAACTTGTTGGGTAATGATAGATGAAAATCACATGGAAAAAACTTGAAATTATCAAGCCTTAGAGAGAAGACTGAGTTGTGATGAGACAGGCTCTCGTCACAATGCCCACCTAGGTTTTTTTCTATTTTTCATAGAAACAGGGTCTTGCTCTTGCTCAGCCTGGTCTCAAATTCTTAAGTTCAAGCAATCCACCTGCCTTGGCCTTACAGAGTGCTAGAATTACAGGCGTGAGCCACCATGCCTGGCCTGAGTTCATTCGTCATGCCAACTTTTCCCTTTAGATAGGGCACATATATTATAAAGAAACAAAACTTTTCAGAGGAAGTAAATAAAAATAAAGTAGGAGCAGAATTCACAGAGTGATACAGCCTAATAGAAAGCTGTTTTTTAATGAAGGATGAGAGCCCTCTGTTGGTCTTTCAGGAAATTTAAAAATTCACTTTCAAAGCTTGAGAGGCTTCAACTTTATCCATCTTTACATATTCAATCTGAAGGTAATTCTCTCCAGTGGGCTTGGGGTAATAGGAAATGTATGTGTGTGGTAGCATACCTGGAACCCAGGTTTTCTGAAAAAGTCTAGGCAGGGGTCCTCAAACTTTTTAAACAGAGGGCCAGTTCACTGTCTCTCAGACGATTGGAGGGCCAGACTGCAGGCCTGGGACAAGTCCACTGCTAAGCAGGACAGGTAGTGGTGGCAAAAACACCCGGCGGGCTGGATAAATGTCCTTGGCAGGCCACAGTTTGAGGACCCCTGGGTCTGATAAACTTTCTGTACTACCACACAGCTGTATGGTTCCTAGCCAAAGGAAATTCTAGATTGTAGATCAAATAAATAGAATTTTAAGTGTTTGGTAATTAGGTAGTTTGACAAAGTAAGACCTTTTAAGTGGCAGAACCTGATGCAGCAACCCCATATAACCTTCCTTGTACATTTCCTTCAAATGATACATCTATCATTATACCAGGTAAATTTTGTTTGTTTTTATTTTCTCTAGAAAGCAAAAATAATCACTAGATTAGATTTAACTGTTCTTTCTTACTCTTTTTTTTTTTTAGTGGATTATCAAACAGTTTTACGGGAAAGTCAAACCACCACTGCCATGCATCTGCATATGAAAAATCTTTTCCTATTAAGCCTATTCCAAGTCCATCTTGGAGTGGTTCATGTCGTCGAAGCCTTTTGAGCCCCAAGAAAACTCAGAGGCGACATGTTAGTACAGCAGAAGAGGTAAGGAACATCTCCAACAAAAGCCACTAAAAGTTGGCATCTCTTCCTATATTGAGCCATTGGCTCCCTCTGATTTAGATGTTTACTAACCATTCTAGTCAATCCTTTCTGTGCCTTTTCTTTCTGAATTACTCTTTTTGGTATTATCTGTTTTAAAGGGATTAAAGAGTACTTTACCAGAACTTCATTATTTTTCTTATTGTCCTAAATTCTTGTTGAGTGACTAACTTCATCTTCAGTATTACCTGAAGGGATTCTCTCACATCACATTCTCTCTTCTCTCTTTTTTAGACCCTTCCTAAACTCTTATTTTCTATGGGAAAACTATTAGCCTTGCTAAACAGTTGTTTTGATAAATTTAATTTGGTAAAATACCTGTCCTTCACACTAGGAACAATTTTTCTTCAATACAAGAGGACAGTAAGGAAGCCAGTTAAACAATTTACGTCCTTTCATTAGGAATAAGATCTTTGAGCTCATAGACTTTTCTGAAGAGAAAGATGGTTTACTTGAATTGTTATATTTATTCAGTAAACCTGAGGGAAAAAGTTAATTCCATGAATATAATATGGCATATAATTTGCACAAGGGGAAGTGTGCTTGTATCTGTTAAACTGCCTATTTATTATGCATCTAATCAGCTTTGCGCTGGCTGCTATGGAGATACAAATTAATAATTATGACTTTACGTTTACATAGCATTAGAGTTTACAGTGTACTTTCCACACGTGTTGTTTTTAATTCATTTAATCCATTGAAACAGGTAGGGATGAGGTAATACCCATATTTTACAGATTTAGAAGCTAAAAGTCATCAATCACAACTAGTAAATGGCAGGCCTAGAATCCAGGTCCTCCAGGGAAGTTGGTCTAGTGTGCTTTGTGTTATGCAACAATGTGGTTCCTGCCCACAGGAACTTAATGAGCATGGAGTCAAGAATATGGTATTATCGGGCATGGTGGCTCACAACTATAATCTTAGCACTTTGGGAGGCTGAGACAGGTGGATGCCTGAACTCAAGAGTTTGAAACCTGGCCAGGTGCAGTGAATCACGCCTGTAATCCTAGCACTTAGGAGGCCAAGGCAGGTAGATTGCCTGAGCTCAGAGGTTTGAGACCAGCCTGAGCCAGAGTGAGACCTTGTCTCTAAAAAAATAGCCGGGCGTTGT